CACACACACACACACACACACACACACACACACACACACACACACACACACATAGTCTGCCTCAGTCTGCACTCGTTTTTTCACACTGGGCAAAAAATATATTTAAACCAGCTGAAGTTAAGTTTAGAGCACAGTTTGAAATGTACACCGAAGGAAACCTGCATCACAACTTTTATACTGCAGTCAGAGCTAACGTGATCTGCAGCGTCTGCCTACTGCATGGCGGCAGCTCTAAAGTAACAGCGAGAAAAGACTAAGAGCTTTTTATTTTAATCCAGCAGGGAGAACAATACAGGTGTTCTTCTATGCCTCCTGTGAGCAGTTCCAGCATTTTTTAAAAGAAAAACAACTCGGACACGCTAATTACAGAGCGGTTTCAAACCGAAGTAAAAACATGGCACTCACTGCACTCCCGTTCGAAGTGAAACTTAACACACAGCTGTTCTCTCTACCACTCATAGTCCGACACAGCGGACAGAAACAGCTAAATTAGAGAGTTATAACACATTAAAAGTTCATAACTCATCCTTATTGTTGTTGGCACTCTGTGGAGATTGTGTGCCGAGGTTGTCACTGTTAACAGTGAACAGAGGGTGCAATTTAACAGCTTTCTTTGAGTCACCGAAATAAAGCACCGAAATTAGAGTTGTGTTTTGGTCTGAGTATTACCGTTGATCTTCGCTCCGGTGCCATACTGGAACAGAGTTTCGGTACCCAACCCTAGTGACCGCCGGATTAAGTCAAACAGATTATTTACTGAGGGAATATTAACGACAACACAGAACAGCAACAGTGTAGTTAAGTTTAAAAAATATTGAACCACAGGATCCCTAAAGTTAATTCAGTTTGTTTTGTTTGATATGAGACAGACGTCCGTCAGAGAATAAATGTGTTGCGGTCCACTTCAGCCGAGCTGAGATCTGCTCCACGCCTCTTTTGGTTCTGCACTGCTGGGTTCATTTCTCAACACATACATGTGAGCAGGAATTGCCTATGTCTTTATGAGTGACCCCAGGGAGCTTAAAGACAGACCAGTCTGTGCAGATATTTTGCAGAACTATCTTGTAAGGGAGGTTTTAGAAACCGGACAGAAAATTACAGTTTTATGTTAAATTTTTTACTTTTTTGCTCATTTATTTTCTGTGGATTTTTGTTACAAATTAATAAAATGCATTTAAGACAAAAAATTGTTTGCACTTAAACCTTCTAGCTACATGGACCAAAATTTAGAGTAAGAAAAATGAAGAAGAATGGTCTCTTGTTTTCATACCTCTGCCTTGTTGTTTGATGTAACATCAGAGCAGATCTGTCCTCTCTCCCACACACCATTAACGTGTGCAGCACAGTACATGTCGGCCTTCCACACCACATTTTGGGGCTCCTTTTGTGCACACTCCTGCTTCACAGCTTCACATATTCTGTAAAACATAAAAAATCCTAAAACATTATAAATTAGTTTGACTGTGACTTCTCCTAAGCTGTTACACATTAATACTCATTAAATACTGTATGTTTGATGTGTTTACAGTCCCATCCAAAAGTACTGGAACAGGAAGTCAAATTCTCGTTTTTGTTGACCGGACATTTGGGTTTTAGATCAAACATGAGACAAGAGTTCTGAATGTCAGCTTTTATTTCCTGGTATTTACATGTAGATGTGTTAAACAACTCAGGATTGATCACTGTTTGCATTACACCACAGCATTTTTAATGGAACAGATTATCTTAAAGTAAATAACATTTAATATTTTGTGGCAGAACAATTGGTTGCAATGACTGCCTCAAGCCTGTGACCCATCATCATCAAACTGTTGTATTCTTCACTTGTGATGCTGTTTCAGGCTTTTCCTGCAGCTTGTTTCAGTTCTGGTTTGTTTCAGGGGGTTTCTCCCTTCAATTTCCTCTTCAGGAAATGAAATGATCTATTGGGTTCAGGTCAGGTGATTGACTTGGCCAATCTCAGCTCCTGCCCCTCTTTGATATGACTCAGAGAGGAAGCGGTCTTCACAGTGTCCAGCCCATCGTGTGCAGACTAACCTTGCAGAAAAGTTATTCTACAGATAAATAAATAACCGTTGGGACATTGTTCTGTCCTAAACTTTACCCTAGCTTCATATTTTTGGAGGACAGTGCTTTTACGCGGGTCACTTTTTTTTTAAACCCTCCTCTTGTGTCGGGAGGGGAACTCAGAGCTCACCCCACCTGGCTGTTACCATGTAACAGCAGGTACAAGGAGCAGCAGTCTGTAACGACCTCCAGGACAGATCTGAATGGTGTGGACCTCAGAGTTCAGTACACTGATGCTACGTTCACACCGAACGCATTTTGAGCGGCAGGAGCGGCCGATTTACATGCAAAGTCTATGGAGGATGCAACTCTAGGGGTCGTGCGTCACGTCACGTATGTTTTGGGCGGTGCGCAAGGAAGGCGGAAGGGGCGCAGAGTGTTTTCCGCGCATGCAGTGCTGCGGAAGCCGCCGCCAGAGTTCAAATATCTGAACGTTTCGCCGCTCGCCGCGTCTTCCACTGAAAACCGGAACAGACGGACTGGAGATATACTGTATTTACCTGAAATCGACCGTGTGCAGTAGGATTTTCTGGCAGGATATATCAGCACCGATGTGGATCAGCTGCTCGGGACCAAAAAAAATAAAAGTCCGTCAGCTGGCAGCTTCTGGAGTGATGAAACTAACCGAACAAATCGCCTCTAAATCATCTGGTGAGTTAATTATCTGCTGTGTGCAATGTTCACTTGTTTTTTAGTAAATAAATCAAAGCCATTTTCTTTTATTTTATCTTTATTTCACCCGCCGAGGACACGCTCCTCCCACACCCCGCTGCTGCTGCTGCCGCTTGTTCTGGTCTGAACACTAGTGCGTTTTTTGGTCTGAAAATAGTGCGTCCGAAACGTTTTGCGCTTTTTGGCCGCTCAAAACGCGTTCGGTGTGAACGTAGCATGAGCCTTCACCTCCAATGAGAAAATGTCTCCAACTTTGGTGAGCTGACAAGCCATACCTAATTAAGGCATTACACACAAATGGTTTGCAGAACAGCCCTGGTTAAAACAGCTGAGGCAACACTGATATTGTTCTTCTGACTTGTAGATAAAAGATTACTTATAAGCAATAGATCTTAACATCTTCTCTCCAAATTGACAAAAACTTATGGGTATTAACCTGGGTCTCTGTCTTTTAATTAATAGAAGAAAAGTATTTCCTTTGGAAAAAGTACATTTTCATTCTATTAAAGGTTTTAGTATCCAGACCTTATTATATCAAATCTACAATAACTTGCATCTTTAACTGTTTTAGAAAGCTCAGTGCTTCGTATTTCCTTTATTTGTATTGTTTTTATTCATGATTCAATGAAATTGGTTCTTGCTATATTTTTGTAATAAATCACCCTAAAAGACAAAGCTGGTTCCTCATCTTTGAGTATTTTGTTCTGAGATAAGAATTCCCTGCGTATCACATGAATCTCACACTTGGGTATGCAGGGCTCTAGACTAACTTTTTGCACTGATTGCACTGGTGCACCTAACATTTTTTCTTAGGTGCACCAGCACAAAAGTTAGGTGCACAGACATTTTCAACCACGTCACATTTAACATCATCATTTTATGGGTTAATTTTAAAAAAATCATTGTTCATTAAGGCAATATTAACAAGAAAATAGTAGTTAGTTAGTTGGTTAGTTAAGAATCAAGAAAACAAAGCTCTTTATTTGAACTAGAATTATACAAGACTCATAGCTTACTGAAAAGTATTTAAAGTGATTCTATAAAAATTCTAAGTGCAAATGTTTAAGGGCTGAACATCTTATAAACATCTTAAACATTTCATGGTTACATTTCTTTTAGACACTAGCCCCTCAGACGAACGACTCCTGTAGTTCGGTCCTATGGATCTTTGGCCTTGGATAAACCAGAATAATGAATAGAGAATATTCATAAATAACAGAAATATTACTGATATTTATCAAAAGGTTGTGCAGATTTAAAAAATATATAATAATATAATAGAACACATAAAAATCTGCAATTTCATTAGCATTTGTTGAATCTTATTATCTTATCTTATTTCAATTAAATATCTAATATGTCTTGTCTTATCCTCCTGAGACCCAAAAGAACCAATTTCAGATACTTGGAATGTAACTGTGGTGAAGTTGATTAAGTGCAAAAGCGGCCTGCTATACATGTGAGCTTCCTCATGCTGCTTTTTTTCCTTCCTCATTCTGCTGAAATGATCTGCTGCGCTCATAGAGTAGACTGTTTAGTAAGATGGAGTTAAGAGCGAGCAACCGTCCACATCTTCCTTTTATCTTCACAGTTAACAAGAAAAAAAGTTTTTCAGACTCCGATGTGGAAAAAAAAAATAAAAAACACTACGGTTGTTTCGCCGTGTGTGCACACCTGTTTTTTGCTTCGTAGTGGGGACAATTATTGACCATTTCCCTGGTACACACAGCCAGGTGAGGTTAGGGTTTGGGTTAGGTGTGTAGTCTACCTGGGAGGTTATGGTTGGCTATAGAATTGACAGGGAAATGAATGGAAGCCAATGCAAAGTCCCCATGAGGATAGAACAACAAACGTGTATGTGTGTGCGCCCGGGAGCAGAGCGCAGTGTTATTAGTAGACATGGAGACTGTATCAGCGGGTGACTGTTATCGTTGATACTGCTGGATTCATTTTTTATGGAACATGGAAACTTTGTGTTTCAGCGGGCGACCGCTCCCCCTTCCCCTCGAATGACTGAAAGGTCACACCAGTGCGACCGGGCATTTTTTTAGTCTCACTATTAGGAAATCAGGTTGCATTTGCGACCAAATTGGTCGCACTCTAGAGCCCTGGAATGTTCTGAGTTGTTTGACACATCTACATGTAAATATAGAAAATAAAAGCTGACATTCATAATTCTTGTCTCATGCTTTTCTTTTGATCTTATACCCAAATGTCTTCAACATCAACAAAAACAAGGGGATTTGACTTGCTGTTCCAATACTTTTGGAGGCGACTGTATATTTTATTAATCCATCTAAAACACTTGACACCTCCTGGTGAAAAAGAAATGTGCTTGCATGCTAAAATACAAAATTTAGAAAGTTAAAGAACAGAACATACCATAGAAAGAAATAAAATTCATGCAAAGTTACAAAACCAGATCAGGACAGTTTTCTAACCTCCCCATCTTTATATCCAAACACTGCAGAACATCTCATCTCGTGAGATGTATGTTTTTATCAGGGTGGATTTTAGGGAAAACAACACTGTACATATTCCAACAGGGTTAATAAAGAAGCTGTTGTCTTTTATCTCTGTTGTCAAAAACTTCTCATTAGTACCACAGACAACTGCTTACTGGTTAAAACTTAGAATTACTGCATTTATCTCCTTTTCAAAAGTAGTTTATCGTTATTTTCTGCCTGAAGTAATTAAAACAATTTATGGGCTGACAGAAAACTAAATACCATTCGATTATGTAAGATAGACTTAGGGCCACAAAGAAAAGTTGTTTTAAATGTTTAAACAACTGACCTTTTAAGTTGAGAGTCTAATTCAGTGAGTTGAACGTAGAAGCTGCTTGGTGAGTTGGTGCAGCTGACTCTAACTTTAACATCTTTGAGATTGGCAGGGAGCTTCAACTGAGGTTTCAGAAGATCTTCTTTGTTCTCTTCAGGGATGATTTTGTTCGGGGCATCAACCTTCTCTGCTACTGAAGCCAGGTCAAGTGGAGGATCCCACACTGCCAAATCATCACCAGAAGCCTTGGCATTCATGGATTTCAGTCTGTAAGAAAAGAAAACAGCCACATCAGTAGAAAAACAAAGAAAATTGGATATTAAAAAAGACAAAAAAAAAAAACAGAAGAGGATGTGATTTTTCAGGAAACTTCAGATTAAAATTACCCATTCCTAAAGGAAGCTAGCTCCTCTTTCACCAGCAGTTCAGCCACATTGGTTTTCTGCTCATTCTGTCCATCGTTAAACACTCTGACTGGCACAAGATGACTCTTCGGGACTTTTGCTGAGAAACAAATAAAATCAAAAACCAAGGACAGACCGCAGAAACTAGATATTTGCAAAGCATCAGCTCATAATCCACACCCAGTACCTGTGGCAACAATAGTGACCAGCTTCTGGTGAGTAAGGCTGGTGAATCTGTTGGTGCTGGTTTCACTCCACTTCTCTACGTCCACAGGAACCACATCTGCCAAACGGCAGTGAATGGCCTAAACACATAGTTTATATTGACTTATCCAAGCAGCGTTCAAACATACAAAGCACTAAACACAAGACAATAACCTCAGAAAATTCTATTATCATTAAGTGCATTGTACTTTGCATTACAAACAGTTTAGAGTTTTCTTGCCCAGTATGTTTGACTATGTATGACCCTGATTTTTTTTCTGAAATAAGAAATCTGACTGCAAGACTCAAAACAAGAAGGCAAAGAAGTTTAGCTACATCACCATTCAAGGTAATTTAGAGTTTTTTTCCCCAACCACAGCACAACAAATAATCTCACCATGGCAGGAAGGGCAAAGAACTCATCCTTGATCTTCCTCAAGTCACTGACAGACAAGATTGTCTTATTGCCAAAGTCAACATACTGCACTTCCACTTTTCTTCCTCCTGGATGACCTACACACACACACACACACACACACACACACACACACACACACACACTCACCCACACACACACACAC